GATGTTATAGAGAGCACATCTAGACAAATAAACACTTTCCCTTGTCTTGGATAGGGTCCTGTATTCGCTAAGAACAGACATACAAACTTGAATAAAACAGTTTTTTAATGAAAGGTTGTCTTTTTATGACCATGATGATTTTTTTTAAAAAGGAATCTCGATCCATCCTATCCAGTCGATCTTCTGCTCTACCTAAAACTGATTTTAAAAGACTGACAAGCAGTTCATGTACAGCTGATTTCGTATGACCGTACCTAACGATAAGGATGAATGCACGGACAACATGCATGACGGTCACTGAACATTGCACGACGCAACTCCGTTTTGCACATCATACGAAGCATGCATGTGCAACATGTGCACCTTTTGAGCAAATCTCCCTAAAAGTCCAGCTTAAAGTTTTAATCCAATATAATTATAAGTTTTTTGTAACATTTTTGTCAACAAATGCACCATGTTTGATTTTCGAGCTCACATTTTATCCTCGTATTGTGCCATTTCCTGTTGTTCCTCTATATCTAATGTTTCGGTATTTTCCATATGAGGTCTAACTAAACTGTGCTTTACGTTGAGCATCAGAATGCAGCCATAGTCGCAATTTAGGTAAAAAGTGTATAATCCACTTTCAGGAACCTGAATCAGAACAAAAAGTAATAAATCATATATCAAGGACTTCCAGTGTTGTATCTCAGTTTTAGGCGGGATACTAGGCCTCGAGTAAAAAAATAATTACTTCTCAACTAATCCCCAATATAAGATCGATGTTGATATCGCTGTTGATCYAGATTTGCAGATCAAAATTGAYTAGGGTTTTCAAGTCTTTTTAAAGGGATTTGGAGTATGTAAACTCGAGTGTGATTGTAGTTTTTAACCCCTATGAGTGGAAGATGGAAATGACGTGTGAACGGATTCAATGTGCACTTAAATAAGTGTGTATTTTGCTTGTTTGGTTGACACATTTCTATGTGTTAGTTGCGTGTTGTTTGATCCATACGTTATACCTTGAGATACGTTGACAATCTCTGGCCACATTTATCAAGGATATTCTGAGGTGCACTGAAATCAATTAGCGCGTCGGACATGTCAGAGGGAACTGGAATAGAGTTTGTCGTCGCAAAGTTTTCAAAACTGAGTTTTCCTYTTGGTAACAACCATACATCCCTTCTTACGCCATTCCTTTCCTTTTCTCCTGCCGATGCATAACCAGGGTTAATGAGTTAGCTAAATTTGCCCAATGTGAGCTCTAACTTTAAAAAAATCACTTATTAGCTCCCAGGCCAGGAYATCGGATTTATCAGTATATAGCTGTGTGAATTGCATGATAGTAAAAAAAGGGGAAGCAATATACTCACCAGTGCTAAACACCTCTACTTCACAAAGCACCAAAGAAGAATCCGGACTTGTAACATATAAATGCGTTGCACGTTTCCAGGGGATGCAACTGTAGCTGTGTACCACACCTCTTTTTTCCTGTAAAACGCAATTGTGGTTTTTGCTGCTTTCATCTGTGGCCGTTACTAGGAATTGGTGTTGGCTCTCACAGCAGTCGTCTTTGCTTACTATGACAGCTTCGTAAATAAACAACGCATGATCCAACTCTATTTGAAGGTATGGATGTTTCGTCTGAAAGACATAAATGAAGACAAAATGATGCATGCATGTTGAAATGCTTAGCGCTTTTATTGAAGACTTAAATGGTATGGATTAAACCAACTGGAAAGTCAAAACCACACAGGCTGCAAAGGTTTAAAAAGCAGGTTTCCACGTTACCGCAATTAAGTAGCTCACCTCACTAATGAAGCACGTTTCCAGCATTCCATCAACTGCAAATCTTGAGCTGGATCCAATCTTCAAGTCTGAAGAGCTTACTGTTCGGTTGAATGCTCTGTTGACTAATATTTGACATTTAGTGATGCATTCAAAATCCTTAATTCCAAAATGTTGGTATGAAAAATTATCATTATTACGTTTTTAAAACAAAACACTTACTTTYACTCTTTCTGCAAATTCCTAAAAGTGACGAGCGGACGTCCCCTGATGCAATATCTTTATATTTTGCTAAACGAAGTGAGTAACTTATATTACCGTTGCTTTTACCGGCATTTCCGAACCACTCGTTTGTAAGGCCAATAAAATAATAGCTCTCTTTCCTAAGATACGAAGAAATGACGTGTCTAAGATATGCTCTGTCAATCATGGCCAACCTCGCTTTTTGTTTTGTGCAATTCTGGGAGGCGGTATTCTGATCAACTTTGGTATCAGCAAAAAAGACGCATCTTCCTCGGAATGAGACGAATCCATCATTGCAGGTTGGTTTTTCTATATAGCAAAAATGCATACATATTATTCCACCTCCTTTAAACGATCACTCTCACGCATCATTATGCACGCGTCAAACCAGAGCCGGGAAATGTAAGAAAAATCTTCTGACAACATAATAAGTTATGGAAAAACTTACCCAAGTGCAGAGAACGTTTCATTATTTTAGGTACTATAGATTCATTCAGAGGGACATCATAAAACTGGACACGCGAAATTCCACCTTTGAAAGAGGACCCAATTTCAACAGAACGGTCAGTGGCCAATAGCTTTCGATTACCAACTTTTCTTGACATGATATTATCTCCAATAAATAACATTGCGTGCCCCGTCGAAAAATCATATGAAATACCAATAAAGTTCCAGGCTGCATTTTTCAAGCCCGAAAGCTTCAACTGTTGTCGTTTGTATTCTTTTTCCTCTTTAAATACTAGTTGTCCAACAAGGGTTTTTTGGTCAAACATTGTTATGCCAGTACCATTCCCGTAGGTGACAATAAAGCCTGAATTACCCTGGGGAAAGATCCATGCCGTGATAGTGATAGAGTACATAAGGTCAAGGCTGCCGTTATGATTAATAGCAATATAGCTGTCTTCTAATCCAGGGAAGTAATAAGATCCATTCAGCCAATCTGGTTGGACCATGTTATAAGCTTCTCCTCTAAGAAGTGGATCAAGACTGATCTCGTTTGCTCCACTTGAAGCGTTCAATGGATACATAGCCACTGGGATTGGAAAATCTGCAGAGAACCAGTAAACAATTAATTAAAATGACGTTTGGTGTTCTACTTTACATGGGAATGTATTCGTGGCCGTTTTATTTCTTCGCTGTTAACCGCGGAAATGGATATGTATACAAACCTACTGACTGCTCACAAATAAACAAAAAGCTTTTTGAGCATTCAACGGCAACCCACTCTAGACTTGTGCTTGAGATAACTCCACACGTATGTTTCCGATCGCTATATTGATTGTCTTTTCCCCAGAAGTTAGAATATGGTAAAGAACCATCTTGCCATTGCCACTTCGTGTTCCAGTTTAATTCTGAAGCAATGAGCAATTTCAAATCGTTGTTTCCTAATTTTTGCGAGAGAAACGATAGTTCTTGTGCTTCCATTCGAGTAACAGTTGTAGCCGATTTACCACCAAATTGAACACATTTCTTGTTATACTTCTGCGAAAAATCTTTCTCTTCTATGCCACTCCCAAAAGAGATCGAAAAAAGGAGGAAACACGATTGCCCAACTTGATGCCAAGCTCTACCACAGGAAGATGACTCTGTCTCACAGGAAAAGATAAGAAATAAACATTAACAACAGCGAGATACACAATCATTTTGAGTCTTTTGATTAAAAAACTCAGTGATCTGTTTGATAGAAAGATGATGTATCTTGATGCGTCAAGTTTACCTATAAAGCAGAACCTATATCATAAATTATATACATTTCTCATGGAAGATTTATTTTGAAATGTCAGAAGTCAAAATAGATTTTCAATGCACAATAGAGCTTGTCTTGAGTAATTTGTAATCCTCGAAAATCTAAAAACATTAAGAAGCGTTTGTTAAGTAGCTCCATCAAGACGACGAAACAAAACTAGTTAACCATGCAGATAACTCTTATTTAAAAAAACTCATAATCTACTGCAATCCAATCCTTCTCTCGATCACAAGCAGAATTTACTGTAACAGTACACGACATTACTCACACCTATCTTTTGACCAGGAAAGAACTAGCTTATAAACTCAAATCGTGTTTAGTTTCAAACAGAGAACAATACAGTTGATGGATCAGAAATATTGAGCCACTCAAGCCTCCAGCTTCCACCAGTTTAAGCTTAATGCCAAGGCGTGTAACGGACCTTTCTAAYAAGAAAAATATAAGCAGCACTSCGAATTCGATTCCCTGTTATATTCTAATTGCTTAGTCCTATTAGAGTATGCCGATGTTTACTTTMTTAGAGGTGGTGATGTTTGACCATTCTTCGAGTAATAATATTCATAAAAAAGTAAATACAAACCAGTGATGCTTGGCGGCTTGACACTTTTCACTGGTATTGATTGCACCTGTGCTTGACAACATTTATCTTGRAAATAGTTCGTTACCATATAATCAACATTTTCACGACCAAAAGAAGCATAGAACTGTTTGCCATATGAACTCTTATTATGAAAAAAGCAGTCCAGTGGCGTTTCGTTTTKTATTACTTTGTGCGATATGATTTTATTGTTGTAAGGTTTGTGATAGACACAATGTAAACCACTTAAAAAGTCGTTTGGCGTGGTCTCTAGCTGGAATTCTAGTATCTTTGAATAACCATCCAAAGCCAATGGAAAACGGCGTTCTATCCTATACTGATGTTTTTGACCACCAGCTCTCTTCGTCAAGAAGTAGGTAATAATTTCTAAATGTGAGAAATATTGAAACCATATATCATTGAAGAGAACCAACATYTTTTTACATGAAGCTTCTAACGGCAATAGGAACTAGGGAAAACTACAGGTAAAAGTACACGATAATATGCAGGTCATGCTGAAAGACAATAGTCGGCATTACCGATTYTCAATTCCCGCACAACAAAATGATTATATTAATGCAAAAAGCCATGATACCTCTGTGACTGCAGAATGTTGGTGAAAATGTAATGTTGTTTATCATTCCTTTGGAATAGGTCCCTTGAATCTCGATGATGAACTATGAAAACAATTCAAATTTKCCATATAACTCCTCATTTTTTTCTTTTTTTTTGGCGTTGTTGTTGTTTGTTTTGTTGTGCTTTGAGCATGTAAATTCTCCGTACCTGGAAAGGAGAAGTACTTCTGAAGAAGATTTCTTCATATTGCCATGTGCTTCCTTTGCTGCCCGATTTGATCCATAAAACCATATTATTTGCATAAACAGTAATAGACGTTGAAGTATRCGTTTTAAAGAATAATTTCATACATTGCTGACCAGTCAACCAAGGACTCTCAAGTCGACCTGTGCCAGATCTTCTCCGAGAAATAACTTTTGACCTCATCWCATGATCTAGAATTAACAAATACTCTGTCTTTAAATCAGTAGGTTTTGTTCCAATTCTCGACACAGAATATAGAGTTTTAAATTGTCTGCGCTGGTAGAACCCGGACCCTCAAATCATCAAATGACCAAATTTCAAGCAAATATTTTTATATATACAAAAGATAAAAAAAATAGTTTCCAATTAAACATAATACCTTCTTGAATAGTCAGTGAGCCTTCCACATTATTCCATAGGCAGAAATTTTCTTGAAAAYCACAGTTACCTTAAAAACAAATCAAATATCAAAGTAGGAAAACTTTATTTTTTGCAGCCCTAAATCTATGGCATTACATTTTTATTCTTGAGCCAACCCCTTTGTAAATAGACAACATCAAAAACAAAACAGCAGCAACAACCTCATAGTAGTCTTAACSTAGAGTACTATACCTTGGTGAGGTCTGTTGGCAACATATGCACCACTACAAAGACCACGTTGCAAACTAACATCAAATAGCAGTATGTCTTCTATGTTATGGGCTGATGGCTTTCCAATGATCAAAACCTATGTACATWCAWACAATAATAGATTTTTAGGCTTTTTGGTCTATGGCGTAGRGTATACTTTTTAAATTTTGTCTAGGATAGACTAATTGTCAGGGCTTGGATTGATAAGGAGGTTATWATTKTGTCGTTTTAAGTCTGAAAAGGGGTAGGTTTTGGTCGGTTTTAGTCTGGAATTAGCTACTTTTCTCCCGAGAAAAGCACTTCCATTATAAAAGCCACTATAATTAACATTCGTTCTAATTATGCACAACTTTAATTTTTACAAACATAATCAAAAGGATTGGAAAAGCTAAATAGATAATGGAAAGGTTGTTACAAAACTTATACAATATGAACTTGCCTGGTAAGATTGGGTATATGGTATGTTTATTTGTACAGTCGATGTCGTATTTCCAGTGCCATTAGTCGCCCATAGATTATACACAAGAAAAGGATTCCTCATTCTGAACAAAACAACCTCCAGAATGCTATGCSTGCTCTTTATGCTGTACATGAGCGTCATGCAGTATGGTTCAAGCAACCGAGGGCTTATAAGATACGCTTTATTTCTTCCTTCAGAAAGACTATGATTTCCAAAAGATGTAYAGATGTAAGACAATTCATGTCCTAAAATGAGGATATGCATGCAATAAATAACGAAACATCTGCAATTCTGTCGCTGAAAGAGAATGCTAGAGTGTTTTAAAATTCCTAATAAAATTCAGTAAATTACACACGATGGGTGGGACAATCATGAACAAAAGAAAAAAACAATTTCTGCGCGCGATTTCCGAGAGTTTTGGTTCTCTTGTCCTCCTAATCTTATTARAGGAGACAGGTATGCGTTGCCGTTTATAGAACTGCCATATTTAAAACTACCTGCGCCGTCCTCGATACGAGCCGATGTAGGTCTACGTTCCCCTCCATACATCCACAAAAGACCATCTTGTACCATTTTATTTACGACTGTTCGCCATCCACATGTTGTTTCATTGAAACTACAATTTGCTGATCAAGATTTATGAAAAGGATGTTAAAGTTTGAAGTAGAAGAAGCATATAGCTATTTCAAACTAGACGCCCAGAGAGCGCTTACATGGGCTTCCTGAAGCAATTTCCAATTGAGATGCATTTAAATTTTCATGGAGAAAATAAAGTCTGGAGCCTATCTATTTTCAGCAATATTTGATTTATTACTTTTCCATACAACCATTAATGAAGGTTTGTTTTCTAGCAAGGTTATTTTTTGAGTATTAAAAATCTGTGTTTCAGGAACAGTTCAGATTTAGAGAAGTTGCATTGCGAGTCACTTCTTTCAATTGCAATGTAAATGTATTTGTTGTCCTATAAATGTTGCAGGTTGTAATGATCAAATAAAAAATAGAATAAAGGGAATTTGCAAAACAACTCTCAACAATGTTTTGTGATTGTGCTATATTGTTTTTAGCAGCTGTTTGATTGTTCGCTATAGCTATAAGAGCAGTAGCAATTTTTATGCCTTAATTCAATGTTTCTGTAAATCYATTTAAACTTTTAAAAGGACTGCACCAAATTGTTTTTAGACGATACATGAAATAGCACAAATTCCCTTGTGGATGACTTTTTCTATATTTCTCTAGCATGAGAGTCAAATACCTTATATGAGCAGTTTAAATACAGTGAATAATATCAACCCCAATGCAATCAACAAAGATAAATGATCTTTATTTATTGTGATAACAATATCACAAAAGCTCTCAAAAATCCCATACAAAATTTATATCCATCTATACTACTAATATTTTTTACCATGTATAAAGTACCAGTGTAGCTTAGACAATAGTCTAGTTGATAATTTTGATCTARTACTGTAAGCATTGTAGGCAGTTCTGTTAACATTAAGAACAAATGTTGTGGTTATTGTGATAAATTGTTGTAGAGCTCATTTCCAATGTGCAGGATTTGTTTTAAATCATTAGACTTGTGCATTCCTTTCATTTCTTTCACATAGTGAATGCAAATAGACTTTTTGCAACACATTTTGAAAAGCATGAAATATCCCTAAATATCATGTTTCTTTGTCTGTATGGTGGCTGAACACTAGAGTCAACATTGTWCACTGTACAACATTTGTATAACATTTTTCTTTGTCACTGAAAACCCATGCACATTCAAAAATGGGGAAAGATGCTAAGCTTTCAGTCAGGCTTTGAGTAGTTGGAAACTTGAACAATAAACATGACAAAAACCTTGCCGAATGGGTCTTTATAAGTACTGTGTATCAGAAGTATAAATATAAGAAACCAAATACTCACTGCAAGGAATGTTTTAACAGGTTTTAAAATACTGATAAGAAAATGAACAATTTCTGTTGAGTCTATTGCGAGGTATGTTAAACTCCAATATGGCGGCGGCTTTCTTCCCAACAATGATTAATTGATCTCTTTGACAAGTTTTGAGTTTCGGTGTTGACTTCAGTCGACGTCAGATGCATTTGACTTCATCTCAGGATTCACACAGTCAGTTTGCATTGTAATTTATGTCAGTTTTAAGTGGGTACTGATATTCGAAGGCCTTCGAATGATTTGAATCATTTTTAAATGATTAATAACCTTAATTTAATTTTAATTTAATTTTAATTTTAATTTTAATTTAACCTTAATTTTTAACCTCAAAAGGTTTTGTGTGAACTATAAGCTTAACTTTCTGATAACTTTGCTAAGATCGCGTGGACCGGCCCGTTCCGAAAACCACGCTGAGCATCTTTTAGTGTGGGCTTCTAGCTTCCTGTAGTTTTGATTTCCTTCATTGTCAACTCCTTTTAATCTTCAAGGTCGTCGAAGCTAGGTAGTTTTTACCACGAGGCCGATCGCTTTTGAAACGAAGACTGCAGACTGTCGAAATCGCGGGCGCTACCACTTTGAAGCCAAAAAATCATAACACGAAAAACCAGCAGCATTTTTAGACATGGTCTTCCACAGGAAGCCCATGTAAAAAGTTTGTCGGATAAAATGGCGAATGTCAATCGTCGAACGGCGATTGCACGACCGAAAGTAGCCATGGGTTTTGCTATAATTGAAAGGCAATATTCTCTTCATGCGCTTGACCCATAATGCTTTGCACCTTGGGGGGTAAGTTTGAATCAGTCGCCGCCATTTTGTTTTCGTGAATTGAATTCAGCTACTTAAACATGGGAAAAAATGACTTTTGTTGTGCCCACGGCTGCTCAAACAATCGTAAACGAAATCCTAAACTGCAGTTCTACAGAATTCCAAAAGATCCAGCTCGTAAAAAGGTTTGGATTAAAAGAATTCGACGCGAAGACTGGCAACCTACWGRCAACACTCGCTTGTGTTCAGCAYACTTTGTTGGAGGAGTTAAATCGGACGATTCACAAAGCAAATCATTCACTCCATCGATTTTCAGTTACAGCCATAATCTTTCTACACCTAGGAGAAGTAAAAACAGTCTGAAAACTAGCGATAACGATGAAAACATTCCACCAYCTCAAAAGCCAAAGCGAAGGAGACTTGTTAARGTAAGCTACAGGTAGCTAGCACAGTCTTTTCGTGTTTAATTTGGCATGGATTTTATTATTAGAGGTTGAAATTATTTTTACTGTAATTTCATGAATCTAAGGAAGGAAAAGGAAGGCCGAAATTAGCAGAACCGTGTATAGACGACCATAATATTTGGGGAACCTGTTTRTACTGTAAACAGGGTCTGTGGTAAACATTGGCTCCATTTAGTCTCCATTTCTATATAAGGTGAATCCAATAAGTGAGATTTTGTTTATCAATACAGTGTAACCATAGTCCCTTTCGGTCTTGCAATCTCCCTTCGACAATCGCCATTTGCCGTTCTCCCCGACGACGTTTTTTGAAATAGCTGTATTTCTAAAACAACTGCAAACATCAACATAACATTTTAAACGCAGACAAAAAAAAATGAAACAATCAATTGATCAACAAACAAGTAACAGAAAAACATGAAAAGCTTGAATTGCAAGTTAATACCTGATGTTGAATCTTCAGCTGCTGGTTGAAGGTTGAATACTTTTTCATGGTTGACACAAAGCTTGGTGTTATCGGAGATKGTGATATTATCCAAAGCAATACTCGAAGCATTCGTTGCACCGGCAACAGCTTCAAAAGAAACCTTTAAAAATCAATAGGCGRAGCTTTAGGCGAAWCATACATCAGGTTTGTTATTAGAATAATCGTACTTGTGTTTATTCTCATCTATTTATCTATTCTATTTATCTCAAAACTATACAGGAAACTGAAACAATTTACAACAAGAAGACGATCGCTAAACTCCAGCTAATCATCCAGTACCCTCTTCGCTTATTAAAATTCGGCGGGATCGATCACAATCCTGTTTATAATRCGCTTTTYGCCCAATTTTGGCATGTTCAGTAAAAACTCATGCCACATTCTCCCAACTCTTCGATTTCCATATCAAATTTTACTTTCCAACCCGTTTCTCTCTTATTGAGTCAATAAAGATTTTTCTACAGATATAATAGTTGATGAATTTTAATGATTGCCAAGTGATATGTTGCCTTTTTTACTTTCGGAAAGAACTGGTAAAGGATGATTTAAATGATACACCTGAGGAACGGTTATAACTGATGAAAAGTGCATTAAACTCATACTTACTTTATAAGACCTATCCCAATAATTAGTATCCCAGTCCAGAGWTAAGCAAGCCGTTCTCCAATGGTCTCCTTGATCGCCATGTCTCACCCAGAGAGTWTYCTTTTCACTTTGTYCAGAATWTTGGATGATTTTAACGACAGCAAGAGTCTCTACATCTTTGCCATGCATTAAATAACGGAACATCATCGATTTCGGGGGKRATTCCAACTTAGGGCTAGTCAGTATTGCCTTCTCATCGTAAATTACTTTTTTGCTTGAATTAACAAATGCGTAGTAACCAGAACCTACTGACATCAAAGAAACGATTCCTTATTTAGATTAGGACATATAATGTGCAAATTAGGTAAGTGGAGCTCCAATCTCCAATAAAAGAAAAATATTTTTTTCCGCACGTGCTTATTTGAGGAAATATAATAATGAACCTTGTCATTACTCTTTATCATAACTTAACAGACTTAACTCTATATGTACAAAAAGACTTACTCGTCAATTCTCACCACACTGCCTTATACTAAACTACCACATCAGTTTTAATCATCTGTAATGACTAAGAACTCATGAACATACCCGAGTAACCTTTCACCTCTAGTAAACCATTGGTCAGCTCGAATGGTWTATCGCCTTCACTACCGCTTGACCATCTACAGTACGAATTTGCCTCAAAATCGCAATCTGTTATATAAATGTAAAACAAGTTAACAGCTGCAAACAAAGCATATGACGAGACAAAAAGACGTTTTCTCGACCATTCATCCTCTGAGAAAAACTACWCGCGGCCATTACCGGTTTGGTAACCCTTTTAAAACAAGTCGATAAGAACAGTTTTAAGGGTGTACTGACGTATCCGTTTCTAGACGACCTGGTTGCTATGCTAGTCGATGCTACCCAATCGGAGAAGCGGGCGAGCGCGCGTTTTCATGCCGGGAAAATTTTTAAAAAATCGCAAAAAGCTTATTTGGCAATCATTCTGAAAACGCATGCTTGGCTTTACGGACTAAGACCTAAAGATTAATTTCATACATTTTAAATCGTTTAATATACTTTGCTTGATGAAATTATAGCATTTTTTCGTGTTAATGACGTCAAGCGATAACGTCATACAATGACGTCATAGAATGTGTTATTTTCAGGTTTGGGAAGGCTTAATACTCAATACGAAAGCGATTTAATTACTTTTGTTCGTCATTTTAGAGAACTACTGAATTTCCCTAGCAACGGATATGTCAGTACACCCTTAACCCCCTTTTAATGCTATTTTCCTGAGCAAACAGGGGCTTATCCATAGTTGTGTCTACAGGGATATGCACACAAGACGTTTGCCGTTCTGCGGTCGGTTATAACAACACATATAGAAATGAAGCAATCAATTTAAAACAGGCTAGTAGTTCCCGTAAGGTTATTTTTGTACCTGATTGGCATAGTATTTCACGTATCATTCGTGGAAAGTCGCTTTCCATAGAATAAAAAGTGTTCGTGGAAAAGACGTTGCTGGGATTTGAAGCAGTTTGGTATAGTTCAAAAAGGTCAACATCACTTCCAATACCACAAGCATAAATCTCCACTCCACGGTCCTTTAAAGGCTGAGATGCGGAAATAACATCATAAGAGCCACTAGTCTGCACTCCGTCTGTTATAATTACGGCAATCTAGACGAATAAAAGGAATCATTCATAATTATAGCGTAGTCTCGAAACCTCATCCGAATGACAAAGTAATAAATTTATAATCACTTTTCTGAGTGCGAAGGCTTTCGTTGCACTGTAAACCGGAAGTCCAAGAAATCAGAGTTCAAGTTCTTTGTCGCAGACCAAAAGTAACGCAGTCTCTGGGTACGAGATTGGGTTATGGGTAGAAAATGGATACATTTGTAATGCGCATGCGCGAGACCAAAATGGCTTCTCAAATTTTTCAATCTCGTTCCAGAGCCCGCGTTCCTCTTGGCCTGAGGGCGCGAGCAACCACGAACTCTGGCCTAATCCATATTTTTCATCAGATTTTCTGGTGTTCCGGTTGAATTGCGCATGCTTGTCAAAAAGAAAAATGGCGGAAAATTTGTTTTATAGTTCGCTAGACCACGGTCTAGCGGCTATAGGAATGCCAAATTTACCTTTGAAAACCAAATAATTTGAAATTTTAGAAAGTGTTGTTGTGTTTGCCGGTAAAGACATTTGAAATTTTGAATTTTTTTCGCTAATACTAACGAGATTTGTGGCGCACAGTCTACATAAATATCCAGACAAACCGTCGTCTTCATGTATGTTATCTTGCAAAGACGTTAAAACGCCCTCTCTCTTCGACTTGTTTCCAAACAAATCTACTTTGTAGCGATCTAAGTTTATTTCAAAGTCTACAATTATTATAAACTTGCTGCGTCGGCGCTTTCTTCGGAGAAGACATTGCTACACTCTGTTGCTACACTTTACAATTAATTTTTGTTTACAATTTTGCAACATCTTCATTGGGGCTAGGACTCCTCGTCGCGCTCGCGCCCGAATTTTGGCGCTGTTTTTCGCAACTATGATTGGTCAAATTTTACTTCCGGAGACGYCCGCATTCGTAATGAGGAAATTCTATCGACCAACGAAAAGCGCGCAAAATATGGATTAGGGCAGAGTTCGTGGTTGCTCGCGCCCTCAGGCCAAGAGGAACGCGGGCTCTGGAACGAGATTGAAATTTTTGAGATAATTATGAATTTTTTTTCATAAGAGAAAAACATTTTTGATTCA